AGAGTCTCACTATGTTGCCCTAGGTGGAGTGCCATGGCGTCACAGCTCACAGAAACCTCAAATTCTTGGGCTTAAGTGATTCTTTTGCTTCAGCCTCCCAAGTAGCTGGGATTACAGGAACCTGCCACAGCACATGTCTTTTTTTTTTTTTTGGTTGTTGTCATTGTTGTTGACAGACCCAGGCTGGATTCAAATCTGCCAGCTCAGTGCATATGGCCTAGCCACTGAGCCATAAATACTAAATATTAACAAACTCTGTTTTTATTCTTTTTCTAGGGGACCACTGGATAGTGTAACATATCTGGACAAAATTAAAAAATTCCTGGCATCTGTGGAAAAAGAGAAAGTTTCTTTAAGCAAGCTGAAACTCGAGTGGGAGAATTTATCAAATCATGCAACAGACATGGATCAGAAACTGCTGGAAATCCAGATTAAGCACCTGGAACATGGTTGGGAACAGGTAGAACAACTGGTTGAAAAGAAGTATTCTCAGCAAGTAGTGGAATACAGTGCATTCCTATCCTTCATGAATCAGTTGCAAGACCTTGAGAGTTCTCTGCAGCAGCAGCAGCAGTGTCTACAGTTAAGGCTGGACTCTCCAGAACAGGAGGGCAACCAAAGCATTATCGCCTTGGCCACTGAACTCCAGGCCATCAAGCACAGATTTTCTGTTTTAAGGGGGCAAGCTGAACTTCAGATGAAGAGGATTTGGGGAGAAAATGAAAAGAAACTTTTGGAGGATGCAATAAATAATTTGAAGCAGCGATTAGAAGCGGTACAGCTGTTAAGCCTAGAGGCAGAGCGTCAGATTGAGAAGAGTGACCTGAGGAACAAAGTGAAAGAGACTATTTTGTGGATCAAGAATCTGCTGAGTGAACTCGTTACCACCCCCATTTCCCTTCTCACAGACGACATTCTTGCCCAGATCAGAAAATGCAAGGTGACACATGACGGCATTCTGGATAGGCAGAAGGCTGTGGAGTCCTTGGTGGAAGAGATCAAAGCCAACGTTCCCAGCCTGACAGCATGTGAGAGTGATGATTTAAATAATCTCCTAGAGGACTTACAGAAGCAATACCAAATGTTGGTTTTAAAATCAACTCACACATCACAGCAATTAGAATTAAAATTGGAGGAAAGAAGCAAATTATTTTCAGTAATAAGAAAGCTTCAACTTACACTTCAAGGAGGGCAAACACTGATGATTCCCAAGGTGGAAACAACCTCCACAGAAGCTGAACTGGAACATCACCATGTCACTTTGAAGTCATCTCAGAAGGAACTGCAGGAAATTGTAAGTGTCCTCTCAACACATCTTCAGGAACTCCCAACCATCTTTGAGGGTCTAAATGTGTTTGAGAAATTATTTCTGGATGATCACTTAAAGAATCTGAAGACTAGAGCCAACAGAATGCAGAGATTCATTCAGAATAAATGTAGAGAAGTGGAATACAAGATAAATTTTTACAGAGAACTCCATGAAAAAACATCTGTGCTTCAGAAGGAGGTTGATAGTATACAACACAATGAACTCCTACTTCAAGAAATAAATCAAGAGGTTAAAGAGGAGACCCATAATCTTAAAGATAGATTCATTGGTATTCAACATAGCATCTTAGAAGCATTGAAACTTAAAGAAGTGTTTGATTACATGGGACTAAAGTGGGATGGTTCAAAACTTCACCAATTACAAACACAAGTATTTGAAAAAGAGAAAGAACTTGAAGAAAAAATTAAGCAGTTAGACACATTTGAAAAAGAATATGGCAAATATCAAGCATCACTAAATAAAATGAGAGTTATGGATTTGCAGATTAAGAAAGGTGCTGAAGCAGTACTGGAAGCTCCTAATACTCTACCAGAATCCAATGTGCTCAGTGCTCAAATTTTGAACCAGAAAATTGAAAAAGCCAAGCGCTTATATGATGAGATAGTAAAGAATTTAAATGAAAATAAGGCCTTCGATGACTCATTCAAAGAGGAAGAAATACTACAAATAAAGCTGAAAGTTGAAGAAAATGATAAGTTGCATAAGGTTCTTCAAAACATGGTACTAGAATTCCAGCCCAAAAAAATGGATAAGAAGAATTTTCTGGACAAATTAGAAAATTGCATACATATTTTAAATCAGATAAAATCTCAATTACAGCAGCCTTTACTTATAAATTTGGAAATTAAACATATTCAAAATGAAAAGGATAATTGTGAAGCATTTCAAGAACAAGTGCAGGCAGAAATGTTTAGTATTAAAACTGTGACTGCTATTGAGAGGCAAAGAGAAGAAAGCTCTTTTGAAACCAGTGACTTGGAGACAAAATTACATGACATTGAAGACCTTCAAAGGCAGCTTATTGGGAGCATTGATATGCGCATGGTAAGTTTTTTTAAAATCAGGCAGTTAGTGCATCTGTTTTTATTTCATGGCTTTGTGTCAGGGGTGGTCAAACTTTTTAAACAAGGGGCCAGTTCACTGTCCCTCAGACCGCTGGAGGGCCAGTCTGCGGGCCAGGACAAGTCAGCTGCAAAGCAGGACAGGCAGCAGTGGCAAAAACACCCGGCAGGCTGGATAAATGTCCTCAGTGGGCTGCAGTTTGAGGATGTCTGCTTTGTGTTTTGCTAGTTAATATCTGTGCTTCTAAAGAAGTTACAGTTTCTACAGGGAAATTCTCTACAGGAGGATAGCCATTGTTAAAAATTGCAATAAACCAGTTTATAATCCTGACACACTCTGCATCTAAATGCAGTGCCTTATAGTTTGGAAAAAGACAAATCTGATAGGTTTATTTCTGTCTCTGTGGAACTTAGGACAAACTAGGGGTTTTTTTGTTTTTAGAGATAGTAAAATATGATCGGAATGTGGTGTAGGGGGAATGTGGTGTAGTTAGTTATAACTAACATTTGTGTTCTAGGCACAGTGCTAAATACTTCATATTTAATCTGTCAACCCAGATGAATGACTGAGGCAAATATCTTAATCAAGGGAGGTTTAGAAAGCCAAGATTTTGAGGATGTCCTGAAGGGAAAAAAACACAAACTGTAAAAAAACAAAAACTGTGGCCGTTTTTTTCCAAAGGGAGGCTGGAAACTTCAATGTTTTAAAAGCATACAGAGAGAAGGAAAAAGGCAGGGGGTCCAGGGTGTGTGTGCACTGATGAGGTAGGGGCTAGTTTCTTGTGAGGCCCCAAATCTACATTTTATATAAAATAAGGGAGTGATGGAAGCATCAGTTATGTGGATGTCTCTGGGCAGGTAGAAGAATGTCTGATTCTGTCTTGTCTCCAGCTGTTACCTGTAAGATAAACATGTAATTCATTATTAGTGTAGAGTTGGATAGGCTTTAGTTCAGGTTCTAGATACATGTAGTTTGCTTGTCCTTGCTAATGGGCATAAGCAAGAAATTTCCTGAATAAATGATCTGGGGCCAGTTTTTACAGATGCCTGAGGCTGTGATTATCTTTTTATGTATCTTTCCAGCAACTTTGTGAGGTGGGTGCTTTTATTAGGCCTGTTCAAAAATAAGGAAATTGAAGTTCAGAGACATGAAGATTTTTCTGAGGGTCTTGCAGCAATAATAGAACCAGGATTCTAATTGAGTTCTGTCTGATTCCAAAGTAGGGACCATCAGATCCAAATCCTGCACATAGTGACTGTGCTTATAAATAAGGTTTTTTGGAATACATCCATGCCCTTTGGTTTATGTACCGAATATAGTGGCTTTCCTGTTACAACAGTCCAGTTGAGTAATTGTGACTGCTTGCTGACCTCTGTGGAAGAGCAACTCCGACATATTCCCTCTCCTATCCTTCTGAAATTTTAGGCATCACTGGAATTCACACCGTGCTGAATATAATGCTTTATGTAGTATTTTTATATTTGTCAGATTCAGTTTACATAAAGGAGAAATTAACTTCCTTTTCTAATTCAAAGAGTTATTGTTAGATCTTATTTTTGAAATAGTTTGATAGGTATAAATGCTATAGAAATGTAAAGTTGCGTTAGGAAACCTCATATAACCTTTAAGTAGGTTTGTAACAAGTGAGTAATTTGAGTACTTCGCTACTTGGCTTTAATAAAAGTTTCAAGAAACAACATACATAGAGCCCCTAAATATTATGATTAAACCTGGCCTGGAATGGGCCTTAAAAGTCTTTTCTTTCAATTGTTATTTCATAGAGAAGACTAAGATCTGGAGGCATTCAGTGATGTCCCCAAACTAAATTCAGTGGCCAAGAGTTTTTTACTTTCATTTGTTCACAGATATTAAGGTTATTCATAACAAATATATTCAGTTCATTTTATATAATTCATAGTCTAGTATAAGAGTTTCAGAGTAGGAACCTAACTCAGTAAACATGATTCATAAGATGTTATTTTGAATTTAGAGTCTTAGAAAATCTAGAAACAATTTTTGTTTAGGCAAACAAAAGTTATTCTTTTCTTTTTTTTTTTTGGCAGTTTTTGGCCAGAGCTGGGTTTGAACTCACTACCTCCAGCATATGGGTCTGGCGCCCTACTCCTTTGAGCCACAGGTGCCCCCCATTTTATTTTTTTATTTTATTTTATTTTTGAGACAGAGTCTCACTATGTCACCCTTTGTAGAGTGCAGTGGCATCATAGTTCACAGCAACCTCTAACTCTTAGGCTTAGGTGATTCTCTTGCCTCAGCCTCCCAAGTAGCTGGGACTACAGGCGCCTGCCAGAACACTTGGCTATTTTTTAGTTGCAGTTGTCATTGTTGTTTAGCAGGCCCAGGTTAGGCTCAAACCTGCCAGCCTCAGTGTATGTGGCCAGCACCCTGCTTACTGAGCTGTGGGTGCCAAGCCCAAACATTATTCATTTTTAAATACTAGTATAATGTCAAACTGCAAGTGTGAGGATTCTACTCTCATTAAACTCAGAGATGTATTATGAATACTCTACAAAAATTCAAGCATGACAATAACCCTAAAGGTTTGACAATTTTATCACAGCATTTAATCTTCTATTCACAGATTGTCTTGAATGATGCTTACGAAAATTTAACACGCTATGAAGAAGAAGTCACCAGGGCACTGGAGATTGCCACTTCCCTTGAAGCCATCACTGCATCCCATAGAGTAAACCTCGATAATCCAGAAGAATCACTAGAGATGCCTCTTAGGAAACAAGAGGAATTGGAATCAGCAATAGCAGATGTCCAGGAGCTCACTGAGAAACTAGCAGCTGTATCCAGCCCTGAAGCCAAGCTCCAACTTCAGTGTACTTTACAGGAACTAGATTCTAAGAACTCAGCCGTGAAGGAAGCCATCAGAGTAAAGACGGCTGACATAGAACGGTAGGTGGGCCTTCTAAACGTAATGCTGTAAGAATATAAAATATGGGGAGTTTTAATTAATACATGTACATTATAGATAATTTAGAAAATAAGGAAAGGTTTTTAAAAATTATTATTTAAAGAAACCGTGGTAGCTTTTTTACTGTATTTTTAATACTTTTTTCTTATTATATATTTAATCTATCAATGGATTGTTTATAAAAGTAATAATAATAAAACAAACATTTTGTAACCAGAGCTTCAAAGATAAGCATGATTAATTTGAATCCTCTGTGTGCTTCTTCCCTCTCTGAGACATAACACTATCCTAATTTTATATTTGCCATTGCCCTGGTGTCTGTTGTATTTTTACCAGGCGTGTATCCTGTTTTCACAATTTTGAACTAGCACCTAGTGTGTGCGTATTCTTCTACCACTTAATTTTTTTCAAACTCATCATTATGGCCCCCAAGGTTTACTCAGATTATTGCCTGTAGGAAAGTTTATTTTCCCAGTTATTGATGGACATTTGAATGGTTTCCAGTTTTTGCATGCAGAAGCAGTGCCACTTAGGAACATTTTTTAATGTAATAGCTTCCCTTGAGTATCTAGGAGCCAGATTGCTGGGTCAAAAAAGGCAGCAGTATATAAACAAATATTCCAGTTGTCCCATATCCTTGCCAACACCTGATATTGCAGGACTTAATTTTTACTGGTCTAGTGAGAAAAAGCTGTATCTCATTGCGATTTTAATTTGCATTTCTATTACAGCTACTGAGTTTGATTTCTTTTTGAAAATTTACTGGTCATATATATTTTCTCTTCTATAAAATGCTTGTTCAAGACTTGACCCAATTTTATTGGTCATCTGTCATTTCATTATGGTTTTTGGGAATGTGTTCTGTAGATATCAGTCCTCTATGGTTACATGTGTTACAAACATCTTTACGGAGGAGGTTACCTAACAGACGCTCCTTCTGGGGTTGGCTCCAGGCTTTGTGATCTGTCCCTTACATTCTAGGAGGAAGCAAAGAAAATTAAAACTAAAATGCCCTCGTGGCATAAACTGGCCCTGCACCCTGACTTATTTCTGTGTATTTCCATTTTATAGAGTTCGAGGCCTCAATTCCTTGCCAGTTTATTTGTGTGTCTTAAGAGTTGTTTTTTAGGCTCAGCGCCTGTGGCTCAAGCTGCTAAGGTGCCAGCCACATACACCTAAGGTGGCGGGTTCGAATCCAGCCCAGACCGGCCAAACAACAATGATGGCTGCAACCAAAAAATAGCCGGGCGTTGTGGCAGGCACCTCTGGTCCCAGCTACTTGGGAGGCGGAGGCAGGAGACTCGCTTGAGCCCAGGAGTTGGAGGTTGCTGTGAGCTATGCCCAGGGGGATAGCTTGAGGCTCTGTCTCAAAAAAAAAAAAAAAAGAGTTGTTTTTTAAAAAATATATTTGGGGGTGCCGATAAATAAATAAATAATAATAAAAAATATATTTGATACAGAATTTTAATTGCTTTCAATGGGGGATTTTGGCTATTTCTATTTTATATATATAACTTTATGCTATATCTCAAAATGCTATATATAAAATGTAAAATTTTTTACTTCATAACATCATTTTCCTCATTGTAACAAATACTTTACAGAAGTAATTTTAATTGATACATAATATTTTAAATAATGACTTGTTTTAATTTTCTTTTTTTTTTTCTTTTGAGACAGAGTCTCACTATGTCACCCTCCCTAGAGTGCTGTCATGTCACAGCTCAGAGCAACCTCAAACTCTTGGCCTTAAGCCACTCTTGCCTCAGCCACCCACATAGATGGGACTACAAGAAGCTGGCACAACACCTGGCTATTTTGTGGTTAGAGTTGGCACAGGCTGGATTCAAACCTGCCAGCTCCAGTGTATGTGGCTGGCACCCTAACTGCTGAGCTGAGCACTAAGCCTGTTTTAATATTCTTTCTTTCTTTCTTT